GAAACATCTACTATGAATGTGACTTCCCATTGACAGCTGGCCTGAAGGTCATTTGTATGTCATCGTTATAAACAATGCCCAAATATTTGCCAATCTATATATTTGTTTCTTGTCTACCCACTTACCTAGGCCAACAAATTAATATGGAAATTGATGTTCGCCGTATTATCTCATCTAGTGGTAGTAGCTGTAATAAAAATGTCAATTTAATCCTGCTGTCATGTCGGGAGCAAATAATAATAATATAATTACTTTTGCCTTACATACAACATGGTGAAAGTAGTCGATGGCTTGATTGCTTTTTTGCTTTCACTAAAGTTTCCTGTTTCATTTGAAAGGTCCAGGAGAGTTTATTTTTTGGGTCCGTTTATTTTTGTTTAGCAAAAGTTTTAAAATTTGTTTTTAAAGTTTTTAAAGGTATCCATATGGAAGCTAAAATAACAAATTTAAATGACATTAAAATACTTATTGAAGAGTTTGTGCCGCTAAACTCTGGCCATATATCGGCGTCAAATTTAATTGATTCTCGATTGTTGTTTATTTTCACACTTTGGAATAAATAAAAATTAGTTGCCCGAAACAAATTTAATGACTTTTGAATAGCGTATAGATTAGACTGCTGAAGCCCTGCGAGTTTAGTTAGTTATCTTCACTTTCAATCAGTAGATAGAGCAGCCTGATGAGCCCTACAAGTTCTTTAAGTTAATCTTATGTTTTTAATACTTCTCTTTTTATGCTACCCACTCGTAGCTTATCTACTAATCGCTTCCATCTTGGGCATGTTTTTGTCACTCGCTTAGGCATTTATTTGAAATTAAGCACTTCAGTTGCCCAGCACAAATCGTTTGATAATAACTCCCATCTATCTTTAACGGCAGCTATCAACAAATTTCTGAATTGTTATATTTCGCGTTGCGGCGATAAAGTTCGAGCAATTGTGAAACGTTAATTTGTTTTGCCATCCAATTGGATCGCCTCGTCGCTGGGCCAGACGTGAATTTCTAATGGAAAACAAATACCATAAACAATTCGATGTTTGTTATCAGGGCGAGGTCCGCTCCACTTATAGCTTGGCTTAACTGTCTGCTTACGGTGGACTCGTGGTAACATTGCCGTTTCTATTCCCAATTCCATTTCCATTGCCCTGACCCAGCCCAACAATTAATCGACTGTCAATTTGATTTGCATTTTGCAGAGCTGGTGCCCGCACGTTATGTGCTCGCCATAATGGGCTCCATTGGCATGGCCATTGTCTATGGGCTGAAGGTGAATCTGAGTGTGGCGATGGTGGCCATGCTGAACCATACTGCCATACATGGCATGCAGGAGAAGCCAGTGGATCATCACACCATTTCGAATCTCACGAGTAGCGCCAGCGAGGAGGTTGAGGTCTGCTCGCCGCCAGGTGGCGCCACCAATGTAACGGCCAAGGTTGAGGTAAGTCACCAGCTGCGCAGCAATCAAAATGAATGCAAATTTTGGTAAACATGTTATTCGCTTAATTCCGACCAGGACGGACCCTTTAGCTGGAGCGAACCCCTGCAGGGCACACTGCTGAGCTGCTATTTCTGGGGCTATCTGGTGTCGCAGATTCCATTGGCTCATGTCGCCGAGAACTTCTCGGCCAAGTGGGTCATGCTGTTCTCGGTGGCCATCAATGTGGTGTGCACTCTGCTGACTCCAGTCCTGACCTCTGCTCATTACGGTGGTTTGATAGTGATGCGTGTCCTGGAGGGCGTGGGCGGCGGTGCCTCGTTCCCGGCTATGCATGTGATGATCGCCTCCTGGGCACCGCCCACCGAGCGCATGGTCATGTCCACCATCATCTATGTGGGCACATCGGCGGGCACGGCACTGTCTATCCTGTTGGCTGGCGTTCTATCGGCCAACTGGGGCTGGGAGTCGGTGTTCTATGTGATGGGCGCACTCAGCTGCATCTGGATGCTCTTGTGGGTAATTCTGGTGCAGGACAATCCCAACAAGCAGAGCTTCATCAGTGCCGAGGAACGTCACATGATCACCAGTTCGCTGGGCACCGAGACCAAGGTCGAACATCATCCAAAGGTGCCATGGGGCAAGGTGCTCAAATCGGTGCCCTTCTGGGCAATTCTCATCGCTCACACCTGCAGCAACTTTGGCTGGTACATGTTCCTCATCGAGATTCCCTTCTACATGAAGCAGGTGCTCAAGTTCAATGTGGCCAGCAATGCTGCACTCAGCGCCCTGCCCTACTTCCCAATGATCATATTCAGCATAATCCTTAGCAAAATTTTGGATACTCTGCAAGCGAAGGGTAAGTTTAACCGCATAAGTCCGACTTATCCGTATGTGTTTCTATGTATTTATTTACTTCATGCTTGTCCACACTCATATTTATATCTACATCTAACTCGATATTCAGGTCCATATCCATATCCCTAGCGATAGCCATCTCCATATTCCATATTAATAATATCAATTATAATATCGAATCATATAACCCTTCATATAACCATATGAATGGATATCCAGATCCATATTCATAATAAAATCTGTATTCATGTTCTCACCAATAACTATATCAATATTCAAATCTATATCCATGTCAAAATCGCTATCTATATCTTATCCTTATCTCTATATTCTAATCCATCTTTTTATCTACTCATAACTCATAAGATTTCCTACACTTTTCTTTTTAAATATCATATTCTTAGTCCTTAGATTTATCTATGTTAATAAGGAATACGTATATTTTTTAGGCAAAATAAGCACAACCATTGCTAGGAAGACCGCTACCTCAATTTGTACTGTTATACCGGCAATATGTTTGTTGGTCTTGTGCTATATTGGATGCCGACACTACGAGGCCGTCTCTGTCATGTCCGTGGGTATCGTGGCAATGGGCGCCATGTTCTCTGGCTTCCTCTCCAACCACATTGATATCGCTCCGAACTTTGCTGGCACTTTAGTTGCGTTGACCAACACTGCTGCCACCCTACCTGGCATTGTTGTTCCCCTCTTCGTTGGCTTTGTTACCCATGGAAATGTAAGTGTTGGCCAGGATTCCAAATAATTCAGAATCTTTAATATTCCGAAATCTTATGTATTCTGATCACAGCAAAACATTGGAGCCTGGCGTATTATCTTTGGCGTTACAATCGTTTTGTTCGTTTTGGAGTTCTTAACTTTCGTCATATTTGGCTCGGGTGCCGAACAATCGTGGAATAGATCGGGTGCACCGAAGGATGCTGATGTCAAGGATGAGAAGACACCGCTTAAAGATGTTAACGCACAGCAAAAGCCATAATTATGTAATCTCGATTAGTGGATCGAACCATATACAAGAATTTCAATTGCATGACTTTTTGTGTAGTTAAAGCACCGAACTGTCACACTGGACTGTAAATACTACAAAATACCAATTATAGTTTTTAGTTTAACCTGTAATACTAGGTATACTCGTATCTGTGCATCCCTCTATGGACACTACTACACTACTTCGCCTACCCGCCTCTAAAATGTACTTAAAAAACGACAGGAATTCAAATGTTATCCCACATACAGACAAAATAAAATAATATTGTAGTACAATTGTTGTCCTTTAATATTGGATAGCTGGTATACTGTTATACAGGTGGTATACAGCTGTACTATAAATGCTTATACAGCTATTGTCATACTGGTAACATTTTGTACTGTTAGACTAGTATACTGTTATATAGATTGAGAACATTTTTATTTTAATTGCTTTATTTGTATTATCTAAAAGTCAATAAATTAATTAACCAAGGTAAGGCAATTTGAAACAAGTAAGAGTGCTCTAGTCATAACTTTTCGACTAGGAAATACTCTGAGCCCTGAACCCAGACGACCGTACGGACGGAGATGGCTATATCGATTCATCTATAGCTGATCAAGAATATACATGATTTATGGGATCTGTTACATACATTTCAACAAATCCATGAACTCCTGATTTCCCACTTTCAATGGGTTCAGAGTATAACAATCTTTCATAGATCAACAAAATCTATTGACAATTCGTGATTTATAAATCTTTTGACTTTGCTTATTCTGAGCCTGGGCCGGTTCTATAAAAGCCGAGCACTTCTTTCGTTATTTCAAAGTCAAATCAATACTGTCAGTTAAGCTTGTGTCTTTATTGCTGCTCCAAACCGCAGCGGCTGTCCTGGCGGGCGTTCGTTTGATACCCCAGCCCATCAATCAGCTCTTGGGAGAGCAGCCACGTATCAACGGTCGCATTATTGTTGGTTACTCTATAAATATAACACAAGCTCCATATCAAGTCTCTTTGCCGAATATACATTGTGGTAGCTACATAATCTCTACTAACGGCAGCGCATTGCATTCTGTAAGTTGCATTCTGCATGAGATCAAGCCTTAACATCGATTTCTTCTAATCCAGTGGCACTAAAATGAAAAATGTTGGCTTAAATGGGCAACTGCTAGGCAACAAAAAGATCGTTAGCCATGAAAAGTACAGCCAAACTACGATGTACGAATATGATTTTTCGCTTTTGGAGCCCCAGGAACCAATTCAATTCGATGAGACCAAGAAAGCTGTTAAACTGCCGAAGCAGAATCAAGAGTTTAAGAACGGTGAAATGTGTTAACGGTCAGCTACAGCAGGAGTGTCAGAAGATATACTATCCAGTGAATGTGACAGATAGCATGATCTGAGCTGGCTGTTCGCAAGGTGGCAAGAATGTATGTAGTGGGGATTCTGGCGGTCCCCTGGTAAATGCGGATGGCGTATTGGTGGGTGTGGTGTCGTGGGGCCCAATACCGTGCGACACGCCCAACGCTGCGAGAGTATATGGTAGAGTATCCGCTGTTCGTGAATGGATTAAGGAGCACAGCTAACTAACTATATAAAGGGCCAATACTGTATGCACCAATACTAAAAAAGTCTCCAGTAATTAAACCAATAAGTTCAAAAAAGATTAAAAGAAGGAGGCGTGGCAGATCTCGTAAAGTATATATATTTCTTGATCGACGTGAGAGTCATAAAGTGTTGGCAAAGGTGACTAGACCTTTCGAAAATTTTCCCATTAAATTGTTTGAACTTCAAAAAATTATTAGTTTAATTTGTTGTATCTCAAAATTAGAAAACATGTGTATATATTTATTCCAGAAATCGTAATAGTTGTATGGTCGAAATTAATCAGAATGCAGAAAATTATTCCATAGTATCCATCATCAGAGAGAAAAATTGTATAAAATGATATATGATGAAAAAGAAGAGGAGAGTTATCCATGTAAGTTTCCTACATAAATCCGAAAAAAAATTTGAATGACTAACATTCTGCAATCCAATAGCATTTTTGCCGGCACGCTACATATTTGCATTCCTCGCCAATGTGGGCATGGCAATCGTGTATGGATTTAAGGTAAGTCTGAACGTAACGATGGTCGTCATGGTAAACCATTCGGCTGCCCTTCACGTCAGTACTTCAGCGCCGGGTAACAAAGATGTGGGCTGCCATCCGCCGCCTGGCACCTCACCGAATGCTAAAGAGGAGGTATGACATACCATAATCCAAGTTTAATTGATATATTACTAAGTTAGTTATCTATGCGCGCAGGACGGACCATTCAATTGGAGCGAAACCCTTCAAGGTAAACTGTTGAGCTGCTACTTCTGGGGCTATATGGTGTCGCAGATTCCGTTGGCTCGCGTAGCCGAAATATTTTCAGCAAAATGGGTATTCCTCGGCGCTGTGGCGATCAATGTCATATGCACCATATTCTCACCAGGTCTTGCGAAGCTTCACTCTGTTGGGCTGATGGCTATGCGCATTCTGGAAGGCGTTGGCGGTGGAGCGGCATTCCCATCGATGCACACCATGATAGCCAGTTGGGCGCCACAGACGGAACGGCTGCTGATCGCCACTCTGATCTATGTGGGCACATCGGCGGGCGTGGCGATATCGATCTTGTTGTCGGGCGTGATCGCCGATCAGATGAACTGGGAGGCGGTCTTTTATATAATGGGTAGTCTGAGCATCATTTGGATGATCCTATGGATATTCCTCATACAGGACAGCCCAAACAAACAGCACCTGATGACCGCCAAGGAGCGTGACATGATAAACGCCTCGTTGGGCGAGGAACATACTGCACTTAAAGTACCCTGGTGCAAGATCTTCACATCGGGTGCCTTTTGGGCAATTCTCATTGCTCACACCTGCAGCAACTTCGGTTGGTACATGTTCCTCATCGAGATTCCGTCCTACATGGACCAGGTGCTCAAGTTCAATGTGTCGAAAAATGCAGTCTTTAGCGCTTTGCCCTATATACTCATGCCGATATTCAGCATCGTACTTAGCAAGGTATTGGATATATTACAGAATAAGAGTTAGTATTTCTATGGGCTTAGTCTTTCTAATATTACTCAAATACTGAAATATACCCTATACATATATAGATAAGATCAAGCGAGTGACTGCCCGAAAGATCGCAACGGGAATAGGTTCAGTCGTCCCAGCCCTCTGTCTGTTTGGTATGTGTTTCGTCGGATGTCGGCACTATGTGGCCGTTAGTATCATGTGTTTGGGTATTGTGGGCGCGGGCGGCATGTTCTGCGGCTTCCTCTCGAATCACATGGATATATCACCAAATTTTGCTGGTACATTAATGGCGCTGACCAATACTATTGCCACAATACCTGGCATTGTGGTGCCTAAACTAGTCGGTTTTATTACCGACAATAATGTAAGTTATATCCGAGATAAATCTTGAATCGAATTATTATTGCATACCAACTTTCCTTAAATAGCAAACCATTCAGGCCTGGCGAGTGATATTTGGTATCGCAATTGGTCTGTATATTATTGAATTTGTTATTTACATGAGCTTGGCAAAGGGTGAAGTCCAACCGTGGGAAGAGGGCTAATTAGAGCTGGTTTCAAAATGGAAAACAAAATCATTTAAAAAAAAAATTAAGGAATAAAATTTGTATTTCAAACTAAATACGTTTTGTAAATTAACAGCTTTTAAATGTAGCCGTTAACAGAAATAATACATGCCCATAGCTGACCGCTGTTAGTTTAATGAACAAATAAACTGGTTCACTGAGCAATTGAAACCGATTCGACATTCTCTTGTTTTCGATAACATTTTATCGAATGTCTACAATTCGTTTAATCGATTGTTAAGATGAAATTAAATTAAGACATAATTTAGGCAAACAAAATTAAATAAAAAATAAAACCAAAAACAAAGTGTACATAACGCTTTCGTTATAATCGCTTTGAATATGCACATTTAGAAAAAATTCAAATAAAAAAACTATTTCAAAATTCAAACTGCACCGAGAGTCACAACTCTGGCAAAGTCGCTGCCAGTGAAATTGCCGGCCGTACGAAAATGTTGAAAATACGCAACATTTGCATGCTGCAGCGACGCTGGAAGAGCGGCAAAAGACGTTGGAATGTGCTGCAACACAAGCGCAACAATTGCGATCGTGCCTTGGAAACTTTCGACGATTTCTATGGCTCTGTCTACGGCGGACGTTGGAAAAATATGCGTGCTGCCCTCCTAACCGAACACAAATATGTTGCCATGGTAAATAATTTTGGTGACACGGAGCAAACGTGCAGCATGCTGGAACTGGACGGTGCCATCAATATTAAATCTCTCATTCAATTGGCAATGGAGCGAGAGGAAGCCGGCACAGAATCTAATCTTCTACTCAATCGGCATGCTCATTACGACATCGATGACAAACTAGAATCGTTGCTGCGCAAGCAGCAAGAACGTGAAGTGGCTGCCATCTATCCGAGTGCAGCAGACGATGGACATGTGCCGCCACAACAGCTGAGCTACGATGGGAAGAAGAACAAAGAAGACAGTCACACGGAAGCGCAGACAGACAGCGAGAAGGAGGCATCGTCAGTGCAGTTTACGCACAGTCTGACCAAAGCTTTGGAGCAGGACGTGCAACTAGATGAGAGTCGTTTAGTAGATCCGCAATTTGGCACGGGCGGCCTGTACGAATATGTGCCCGCCAGCAGTATCAAGGGCATGGAAGATTGGGTTGCCGAATCGGAACATTATAAATATTATCAAACCAACACCGATTTTCCACTAATCATCGAACCCGAGGCCATGTTTCAGTATCCCGAACACTTGGCCATCTACACTTACGAGATGGGCAACTGTGCGGAATTTAAGCCGCCGCGACAATGTCTAACTGGTGTCTTGTCTCATTTTCTAATGGACGGCGCCTCCGTGCTGCCGCCGCTGTTTCTGCAAGTACAGCCAGGTGAGCGTGTGCTCGATGCTTGTGCGGCACCAGGCGGCAAGTCACTACTGATGCTGCAGACGCTACACCTGGATCAGCTGGTGTGCAACGATGTACAGGAGTCGAGACTGAATAAACTGCGACGCGTCATGCAGGAGTATCTCTTTGATTACAAACAGCGCTGGGCGGGCAAGCGTTTGATTTTTAGTCAGAGCGATGCTCGCAATTTAGACGAATATGGCAGCTATGACAAGATACTGGTGGATGTACCATGCACCACGGACAGACATGTGCTGATGCATCAGGACAACAATATCTTCAAGCCGACCCGAATCAAGGAGCGTCTGCGCATACCCGAGCTGCAGGCCGGCATCTTGGCGAATTGCTTACGTTTACTGAAGCCTGGCGGCAGTTTGGTCTACTCCACGTGCTCCTTGTCTCCGGTACAGAACGACGGTGTTGTCCATATGGCGCTGCAGAAGGTCTTCACCGAGCACGGTATCACGGCTCGCATCAAAGACCTCAGCCAGCATACAGCGCTCTTTAGCGACATCTACAGATTCGAGCAGCCAAAAGGCTTGAAATATGGCCAAATGGTTCTGCCCTATTTGCCGGCCAACTTTGGACCGATGTATTTCAGTAAAATCACACGAAATTCCTAATGTTTAACTTTTAATCAATCCAAATTCTAAGATGTATACCAGAAAGGGGGAATTCAGATATTTGTTGGTGGGGTGAAATCAGATTCTTAACCAACAAATTACGAAGCTAGTAATGGGTATGTAGTTGGGCAATGTCACAGATTAAACCCTTCAGACCCTTAGAGCATAACATTTTTAATGATACCAAATTATAAAATGTTACTTATTAAAAAAGAAATGAATTACTTGTTACAACTCAATACGTGTTTTTTTTTTTCGAGATTTCATCCAATAAGAATTCATTTTGATTTTAGGAATAAATTGAAAGAGAAATTTAATTTGAACTTTAAGCTTAAACAATATCTATACGAAATACAGCCGTGTTTTGCTGTTCAATTTTTGCCTACAATCTAAATATACATTAATATAATTCATAATAATTTGACATTTACAAAAAGTTTTGTGCCCGAATGGAAACAAGTTTGTTCAATTTTTGTCAATCTTCTTTTTCTTCTTGGGCTTTATGGGCAGTGGTCCAGGCGTCTTGAAAATAGTGCTGCAAGTAATTATATAAGTATTATAATTATTTTGTTACATTTAACAAACTCTCTGACTCACTGGCATGTGGTACAGATTGGACTGTATTTGCAAAAGACAGACAGGCATACGGAGCAAACGTAGCCAATGTCAATTAGCTCGCGATGGCAGAAGCAGGAGGCGCGATAATCAACCTTAGGTGTGGGTGGCAGCACCAGCTTGTGTCGCATCTGCGGTGATGGCAAGAAGACCCACAGTAAGTACTGCAACAAGCCATCCAACTGATTCACCTTGAGGAACTGGCCATTCGTAATATCACAACCCTGTTGCAGCAAACTGAGTGTCTTGTCCAGGGCGCAGGTGTCAACGACAATGCCCAACTTCTGGGCCGTGAAGAAAACATTCATAAAGGTCATGTACTGCGAGGCGCACTCATTGCTGCCTGTGATCACCAAAATGCGTGAATGCATCTTGACGCCAGCCGGGACATTCCGTTGCAGCTGCAAAAGTAAAAGTATTTACAATTAAAGTTCCATGAATGAAGTAGATTACATACTCGTGATATGTAGCACAAGGCCATGGACATGCTGCCCGCCAGTAAACTTTCGCACGGCGCGCTCAAACGAGGCGCATTCATGAGTATGCTGCCCAACTGTTGCTTCACCGTCTTCTCCACTAAACTAAACGCCTCGTATTGGGCATCTATTTGGCGCAGCTCTACCTGCCTGCCCGGCAAGGGGAAGAGAAACTCACTGAGAAGAAAAACAATTGCTTAATAAATATTTACTATCAATGTTTAATCGCCACCTACGTGGTGTAATGTGAGCAGGAGAGCACAGCCAATTTATTTTGTGCCTTCTGCATGAGGTGCGCATTGCCAAAGGCGATGACTGCCTCCAGAATCTGCGTTAGATTCTGTGGATTTTGTCGTACAATCAGCTGTGAGGGATTCGTGTCCAGCACGATGGCCAACAGATCAATGCTTGCCTCATCTTTAAGATTGCAGTTTAAGTTCAAATACTATTACGTTTATTCATTTGAAATTTACCTTCTTTGTTTGCTGTTGCGTCTGGTGACTCCATTTTTGCCGGCAAAACAAAGCGCAATGGTAAACGCTGAAAAATAATTCCAAGGTTGCGCAAAAGAGTTCGGCACTGGTTGCACTTGTGACGTCAGTCATTTAAATTTGCTCGAGAGCTGTATGTAACAAGTGTTTTCAATGTTTTTAAATCTATTAATGAGCATGGCCATAATAATTTGTTTGAATATAAAAGAAAGTCTAATTCAAGTATAATATTTGAACTTTAATGAAACTGGGCATTATTTAAATGTGATGTCATAAGATGGAATTGCACTTTTAACCTTTGGCACTACGCGAATTGTTCATATCGGGGCTGCCACAAATTGATTTTGCCATTCAGCGGCAAACGCGGACACTTCAATCAGCTGTTCTTGTCAGCACTAAAATTTTTGTTGGGCGTTTCACCCACTTATGTTGATAAAAACGGCGTTAAACACGTATTACATCCGGTTTTAAGAAACAAGAACATAGCACAGCTATAAAATGCTTGTTCTAGTACTTGGCGATTTGCATATACCACACCGCTGCAGCAGTCTGCCGGCAAAGTTCAAAAAGTTGCTGGTGCCCGGTCGGATACATCACATACTGGCCACTGGAAATATCTGCACAAAGGAATCATATGATTATCTCAAGTCATTGGCCAACGATGTGCACATAGTGCGTGGTGATTTCGATGAGAATCTCAGCTATCCGGAACAGAAGGTTGTGACGGTGGGTCAATTTCGTATTGGCCTGTGTCACGGTCATCAGGTTGTCCCTCGAGGTGATCCCGAAGCATTAGCCTTAATCCAGCGCCAACTAGATGTGGATATACTAATAACGGGGCATACGTACAAGTTCGAGGCCTACGAGCATGGTAATAAATTCTACATCAATCCTGGCTCAGCGACAGGCGCCTTCAATCCGCTGGACCAAAATGTGGTGCCCTCCTTTGTGCTAATGGACATACAGAGCACCACGGTGGTGACCTATGTCTATCAACTGATCGGCGATGAGGTCAAGGTGGAGCGCATTGAGTATAAGAAGATATAACCAAGTATTAGCAGCAATTCATTCCGCACGCACTGAAATATCCGATCTGTCTTTGATCTTGGCTTAAACTATGTGAAAATCTGAATATATGAATATATATATTTAACGAGAAAATTGTATAAATTAAACCACGCTTCTTTCATTTTTTTATTTAATAAAAAATGTTTAAATTTTATTTAAATAGAATATAAAAGGGTTCTTTTTTGTTTTGCTCGATTTTCACTGTTGACTCTGGTGTCTCGCTTACATGTTCAATGTGCAAAATATTATGAAGTTTACAATCGAATGAAAAGTCTGCTTAAAAATGTTGAAAAAGTTTCGTGCATTATTCTCATTACAATTGTAGTTAATATCTAGATACAGATTGGATTATCATTCGGTTAACGTCGCATTGCTTTCTTGCATTATAAAATAAATATGTAAATTTATTATTATTTTTTATGATCTCTTTTCATTTTGTTGTGAATACTTTTTGTTTTCGCCCCATTTTTTACGATAGCAGCATAATTTGGCAACTATTTTCTAAATTTTCGTACGTTACAAAAAATAAATGATAAATACACAAACACGAAAACTCTGCGCTTAAAATTAAATTATTTAGCTTTGCTGCAATCCACTTGCAATTAGTTGGATGCGGGTTTTCATGGGGTGTTTTTATTTAAAAATCAATCAACGACGTCCATGCGATCCCTGATGTGCCTGCCCACGCATTAACCCAGGCTGTCGACGCACACAGTCTTGAGGGTTTTGCCATTGATGAAGGTCTTGAACTGCTCCGGCAATGCCAGTTCGGTCTGCAAGAATTTTAAATAATATTAAATAAAAATATATATTTTTGTGTTAATTTAAGCTCCACATACAAAATCTCCATTTGCTTCCGGCAAGAGTATATTCATCTCGGATGACTTGGAGCTGACAATTTCAACGCCCAGCGAATCCTTAGACAAATACATTTGACAGCCATCGGTCTTATCGATCGACACCGTTGGCACCGAACCCAACACCTGCATCTGCACGCTCTGGCAGTTGACGAACTCAATGGAGGCAACCACCGAATCGAACAGAAGCGAGCACTTTTTGCACGAGTCCAGCACAATGTTGTTGACCTTGCCCTTGACAGTGAGGGTGGAGCCCTCGCAGCGGAACATGTACACCACATTGTTCATTTCGGCATTTTCCACAACGAGACCGGAGTTGTTCTTCTGATACTCTATCAACCACTTTTTACCATCGCGGGTAAAGACTGGGTCCTTCACGGGTGGAGCAGAATTAGTAGCAACTGGGGCGCTGGTTTTTGCTGGCGTCTTGAAGGGCGCTGGACCAGTGCGCAGTGATGGATTCTTGTGAGTTTGCATGTCACCGGTAACCTTCTTCAAGTCTGCAAGAATATTAAATTAGCTTAAAGCATCTTATAGAAATTATTGCCATTTGTTCCTACTCTTGGTTATGTCAGCGCCCTGATTGATCTGCGCAAAGAGCGCACTACGATCATCGCCCGCGCTGTCCAGCTTCAGGGCATTCAGATCCAGTGGTGGTGGTGGTGGTGGCATGCCACCGGGTGGTGGCGGTGGTGGTGCACCGCCGGCGGGAGCTGCACCCTTGCCAGACCAGACCAGGCCCGTGGTATGATACTGCTTAATGTAGGCCTGCATATCAGTTAGTGTTTGCAGCCAGGCGCGTGCCCATTCCACATGCTTGGGATCCTTCTCCTTCCACTCCTTAAGCACACGGTTCGTATAGAACTGACCAGCGTCCTTCATCTCCTTGACATGCGGTCCGGGCATCGATGTCGTACACACCCAACCCAGGGCGGGTATACTCTCGCTAATGGCCGACAAATGATTGAAGAGCGGCGAGGTGCGATGCTTCTCACGGAAATCACAAATGGCGCTGATTTGCGTCGATGTCGGCTGCAGCAGTTCCATTTCCTTTGACTGCGGCGGCTTAGCCATCTGCGTGGCCAGCGTCACATAACGCAATTGGGCGCTTTAAATTGTTAAATTGAAAATGAATAATGTCACACAAAAATAACAATATCGACTGCAGTTAATACTCACTCGAATGCAGCCTTCACAATCTGCGCATGCGCAGCCACGTCGCCGCCTATTTGGGCGGATAGCGCCAAGTACTCGGCTAATGGCCCGGCGATAATATCTTCGTAGCCAGCGACACTCATGTTGTTGCTGTCACTTGTTGTTGTTGTGGGAGAATCAATTGGCGGTGGCGGTGGCGGTGGCAGTGGCGTTGGTGGTGATGGTGGTGCAGGTGGTGTAGATGGTGCTTTAATTACTGCCTCTGGCTGTGGCGCTAGCAACGTGTGCTCCAGCCGATCCACTAAAGTCTCCAAGCGTTCACAAATCCTTTCCAAATGCTCAACGGCAGCTGTGGGCTTTGATTCCGACTCGTGGTTATCTGTTGATTAATCAAAAACTCAATTATTATTCCAGTTCGCTCTAAAATTTCGTGCTTTTACAAAAGATGTGCGTAAAAATGTAAGCGTAAAAAATATATACATATTTGTATATTTAATTAAGATAAAAACATTACACAAATCGTGTTCACACCCAGTCTATAAACAAATTAAAATAAAATATAAAAAAAAAAGTTGTAATTGATGTCATCGCAGGGTTTGCAATAAAAAATATAAATTCGCATGAATCACTGGAAACGACTTGAGAGATTAAGCAACGAGCAAAAAAAAAACGCTGAATGAGCTGTTGGTGATGATGTTGTTGCTGCTGCTGATAATAATTTTGTTGCTGATGACAATGATGAGCAGAGATCAGTGAGCGGTTATAAAAGGAAAAAAATGTCAGGTGCTGCATATTAATATAAGTGAGTTTAGAGAAATGTGAATGCAGTTATAGTAATTTAATACCCTATAAAAGCTGGCTAATATGAGGTATGATAATACAAAACATACTCTAATATCAAGATTGTGTAAATTGTAAACTTTTGAGACTTAAAATATACAATACAATCTTTTCAAATAATATATTGAAATAATAATAATTTACCATTTTAAAAATATTATTGAAAAAAAAAATCAAAAACAAATATACAATTATCAAACAAAAAAACTTGTTATTAAATAAAAGATTATTTAAATGGTTTATTTATTTATTTACATATTTTTTTTTTTTTTTTTAATATATTAATTTATTCTAAAATACAAAAAAATAAAAATAAAATAAATAATTTGAATATAAATTTTTTAAAGCCTAACTATGACCACTAACCAAACAACACAACTAACGTATGTTCGGTTTACTGAATTTGCTATAAATAAGCCTACCGTGAAACAGAACAAAGACTTTAGAGATTAGTAAACTAATTAGAAAATTATAGAGTGTAAAACCTAAGCAAATTTTCTCCTATTTGTATAGCTAAACTAGAATCAATTTTCATTAATTGCTAACGATTTCTTACTTCAACTGCACTTAACTATACAATATGTGAAATTTGTTATTTATAATAGAAATAGACTCATATAAAGATGTGAAAGTGGTATAGATAAAAGACAAAATTTCTTTCAAAACTGAAATTGAGAATTGTGGTTTCTTATAGGATATATAAAAACAATCACAAGAACAGGATGAGAACTGTACTTGAAAAACAAACACGTTATCGATAGACATATAACAGAACTTGTTATCGATAACGCAACGCATGCAACGAACAATCGAAACGAATTTAACAATAGAATTCCATTTGTATTTCATTCATACCACGCACGGCCACGCTATGCTCCACGGCTGCGTGGGCGGCACGGAGCAGTTCCGTGTAGAGACGCTGACGTTTCAGCTCCAGCTCATCCCGGCCGACAGGTGTGACAGGTGGCTCAATGCAGCCGCTGCAGGCGTGCACCCAACATCAATGACAACGATAACAATAGAATAGAAAGATGAGTTCATACATGTAGTACATATAATGTGGCTAATACGATAGAGAACGCGTACATCTCATTCAATCGCTCATCGTCAAACCAGGCGGGCAGTCCGTGTGCAAAGGCCAGTGTTTCCGGCAGCAGTTCACCTTCGATGTACGGCGCACACATGCTCTCCCGCTTGGGCGGCGGCAGTGAGTCGGAGAACACTTCATCATCGTCGGCCAGCGAGCTGTTGTTGTTGTTGTGATTGGCCAGAAGGAGCAGCGATAAGCTTAACGGATCTGGCTCAATGATCTCCGCTCGATTGCTTATGTTCACCTTCTTCTTGATGGACTGATGCGTCGAGTTGTGACGGGAGAGGCAGCTCTTTGTGGGATGCGAATTAGCCGGTTGCGGTTCGTGCACCTGCTGCTGCTGCTGCTGGTGCTGCTGCTGGTGCTGCTGTTGAGGCATTGCATTCGGCGCCGGCGCATCCTCTGTGGCGCTGGTCATCGATGCGGGTGGAGCGGTTGATGTGGATGAGTGCGTCGAACGCTGCACTGGCGACGATGCGTCAGTGCTGATAGCTTCTATTTCAAGGGCTGTGAAGATGCGACGCAAGGCGCGAACATATATACGTATTTATATATGTATATCTGATCAGCAGATCAAAACTAAAATCAAATCTTAAAGTTTGTTTGCTCTAATACTGTCTCTATCATTCTAATACTACATATTTAATATATTCATTCAAAGACCTGACATTTTTTGGTATAGTCAATTTTCTTCGTACACTCACTAGGTGCTTGGAAAATTAAGAAAATATCAAAACCCTATTATTTAAGGTGATAAAAACTTGAAATATTAAGTATGTATACTCGTACTTAGAAGACAAAAATATATAGTGTAATATATATAGACCAATGTGAGAGCATGAAAAAACAGAAAAATCTAGATCAATATGGTACTTCAGATTTGAAATTCACAAAAACTATTTAACGTTTTTGCATCATGAACGAGTATTATGCAGTCGATTCCTATACCCAAAGATGTTAAAGAGTATACATATATCTTATAAATATCTAAGATTTTGATATTCTATAATTGCTGCATATAATTGTATATGTATACAAATCTATATTCATATATATATTGTGCGCTATAACATTTGCTAGTAAGGCAAAATAAAGACGAAAACAAGCTTAATTAAGCGCAGGTACTGGGCATTTGGTATAGCTCTGACTTTTTATCACCAATCTCCAGGGACCTGCTGCCAGGTGCAATACACAATAGCAGAGCGTGTATTAAAGCTCCCAGGAGCGGGATAGCATATTTAATTTTGCATATAGAACTAAGTGTTATACATAAGTAATACATATTATGAATACCAGTAGGGGGCTCAATAGGAACAGACTCCTTTTCAGTGGCGGCAGCGGGTTCGGTTTGGGCTTCAGGTTCTAATTCTGGTTGTGGTTCTGGTTCAGGCTCTGGCTTTAGCTCCGGCTCAGGTTGGGATTGAGGCTCTGCTTGTAGCTCAGGCTTTGATACCTGGCCATTGGCTTTGACCTCTTCTTGGGTGACCTGTTCGTTAGCTGTATCTGCGGGCAGCTGTTCGATTTTGTCGTTTGTTTCGTTCGCATCGTTTTTACACTGTTTATCCTTGCCCTTATCCTTTTTGGCTGCTTTTGGATTAGCACGACAACATG